CTCTCCAGTTTGTCAACATCCTTTCTAAAATGGGGACACCAGAGTTGGACGTTGTGTTCTAATATTGGTCTCCCCAAAGCCACACAAAGGGGTCAAACCACCTCCCTCCTCGCTGCTTCTGTTTAAACAGCCACGGATGGCATTGGCCCTTCCCCCGCCACATCTCACTGGGAGCTCATGTCCAGTGGTCTGTCGACAATGACACCAGAATCCCTGTCAGAAGCAGTGCTTTCCATGAGACAGTCCCGCGTGGGGTCAGTAAGGCCTGTATTCTTTGTTCCCGGTGGGATGACCTTGCATCTGGCTGTATTGAAACACGCTGTGATTGCATGGGGCCCACTTTACCAAACAGCAGATCCTGAGCATGTTCCCACCAGTGTCACCAGCTCCCATCCGGCCCCAGGGCAGCAGGACTGGCTGGCTCCTGGGGGTGGGGAAGGGGACATGAGGCCATTCTCTTCTAGGACCCATGGCAGGAGCTCCCATCGGATGGTTCGTTGGCTGATGGGCAGTGAGTGGGGCTGGTGGGGATTGCAGGTGCTGAGCGGGGGTCTTTGTTGTTCCAGGAGCTGGTGATGTGGGAGGAGGAGGCTGCGTGTTCCTCCAGGGCAGAGCGGGCAGCGCTGGCCCCAGAGCAGGGCAAGATCTGCAGGGAGGTGAAGGAGGAGAATAAAGAAAAGCCTCTGATCTCACCGGGTGAGGAGCAGCTTCCCCTCAGGGATTAGCAGCTGGGTGGGGGTGGGGGGAAGGGAGGTTCTGAAGCCCATGTGGTGCCTATGGGGCATTGGCCTCTGGATCCCCCAGACCTAGCAGCACAGAGACTGTCACCCCACAATGCAGATCCCGCTTCCCCCCAAGCAGAGAGCGGGGCTGGGGTTAAAATCAAGGAGCAGTTCTCCGTACCGCGCCCTGGGGGGAGATTTCACTGAGCGCCATCTCGCATGTTTCCTTCCCCCGAGCAGGATTCCCCATCCCCGACCAGGCAATGGTCTCTCGAGTGGAGCGAGGGGAAAAGCCGAGGGTCTCGGATCTCCAGGGCTCTGAGGAAAGGGAGGCGCCCGCACAGATGAGGAATGAGCAACACCGACTCGGAGACTGTCTGGGAGTGAAGGGAAAAGCTGGGATCCCAGCAAAGATGCCAGGGTCTCCCCCTAGCTCCCTTCGGTTCTACCTTGTCTCTGTCAGTATCGTCCCCGGCAGGTCCTTATTGTCACGGCAAGTGACACTCCCAGATTCCCACCCCTGGCAGGAGCCCTCTCCCCGTCCTGCTTTTCTCAGAGGGCTCAGCTGGCATGTTGGGGCAGCCCTGGCCCTCCTCTCCCCTCAGGGAAGGGTTTGGAGGATTTGCTTCCTGCCCATCAAGTTTTCTGCTCCGCAACAAACCACTGTGCCCCTCCCCCGTCTCCCCGGCACAGGGAATGAGCCCCGGCTGGATTCTCTCTCTCTCCCAGCAGGTGCCAGGACAGAGGGGGAGACTTCGCAGCAGGAAGAGGCTGCAGGAGCAGAA